ACCCACTTAATATGAAAGTAATGCTCATTTGCGCAGCTTTTATACATGTACATTTTTAACCATGAAACACACTAATGTTCTTTCCTCAATGTATCTTGTATATAATCTACATTAACTACATCTGAACAAGTAATAAGTTTATTCCATGGTGAAAAGAGAAGAAGAAAACACAACGTTTTGGCTGTGGTGCCTTCTTGGGTGTAAGAAGGCACCCGAAGAAGGCTCCACAGCCAAAACGTTACGTTTCCTTTCTTTTCTTTTCACCATGGAATAAACCTATTACTTGTTCCTTTGCCACCTACGCATGCTGACACAGCTACCCACCTGAACTATTAACTACATCTTATCTAAACCTTATAAGGGTCATCATCACCTTTCTGTTCTGAAGAACTGTATGAAAAGAAGATTTTTTTGTACTCTTCTTGGTATCTTTTTTCCCACCAACAGTCTATTTATGCTCTTAGAAATCACGTGTATATAAAGCAAAGTAATAATGAAACACTAATGGCTTTATGATAACCTCCACCTGACAAAATGTCCTTTGTTACAATGCATCGCTTAAGGTTTATGTTTTGTTTTTCTTCGGGGTGGAGAATAGTGTCTGATGACCTTTAGGTACAGAGGGACCAATTTATGTTTACCTTTACAGGCATATATTTTTAGTTGGCTGCTACAGGCAGCAAAACTTTATTCTTTAAAATTGAATAATAATAAATTTCCCTACAGTAGGAGACTGAATTTATATTTTGCTTTGTTAGATATTGTTAGATATTATTTGCTAATAAAAATGTTTTATAGAGGTGCAGATAATACTCCTGTGCTGATTTTAAAGCACTTTTTTATGCATTACGTCCCTCACCCATGACTACTGAAACAAACAAAAAAAAATTATATTGCTGTTAAAAATAAATCAATACATTTAAGTATACAGTATCAACTAGTCCCGTGCTGCATAATTCCAAAGCCAGAAGACTATAGGCAACTACACTAATGCTTGAAACAATCAGTGGCACAATATGAGAGTAATACTTATTTAGCCCCTAGAGGGCAGTCCAAAGGACCTGGCAAAGAAATACTAAAGGTACTGCATGGTTTAGAACTGCGGTAATACATTACTCTTCTATGCTCATTCTTATGCACCATAAGACAATATATCGGAAAACATCACATTGTTTTAAATTGCAGGATATGTATCTCAGGATATTGCATAATATTAACCATACCCTCTAATGCAAACATTAAGACCATGTAATAAAATGATCTATCCACCCATAACAAATAAATCGGTCCTGAAGAAAAAAAAATGAAGCCAACTGATCACGATTAAATTCTGACATTCTAAAGAAGACTGCTATGATTTAAGATTAAATGCATTACAAGCAGCCCACAAAAGATTCCTACCGAAGACTAAATGTCATGACGCCAATATATTCCTATAATTTCAACCACATTTAATCTTTGAACGATAAAACAGCACATAATCCAACAATGAAGAATTACTGTTGATAGTTCATTGAACCATATTTCATATTACATACATTACAGACATATATTTTAAAAATATCTAGTTTTACTTGGTAACTAAATATTTTCCAACATATCCTGCACAAAAAACTTGGATTATATACATTAAACAATTATTCAGAGTGACCAACATTTCACTGAAATATCATAGAAATCCTCTTAATGAAAAATATTTATTGTAAATGTTTCAACATCCAGTCATTTGCTTGCAAGTAATCATAAATTACCAATGTTTCAGAAGATAGGCACATTTCTAAGCCTGAATGAAAGACTAAGTGAAACAAAAGGAAGATGCATTTGAGGCTAAGGAACCCTGGAACACCTCTGGAAAGGAATTGTTTTTCACCTCGAGGTCTAAAATCTGTGATTCCATATGGGACAGGAAACACTGTGCTAGTATTTCGATGGTGTTCTTCCCACAAACCCCCCTTTCCATTCCAATTCTCATCCAAATCCCTTTAACAGAAATGTTTGATACAGAGAACAAGAATTATTGACCCTCATAACTCTTCCCCCACTTTTGTATGATCTAGATTGAAGCAGCACATACACTATGTAAAAGACTTCTGCTTCATATCTTTGATCTCCTTTCTGCAAGGGCTGTGGTGTATGAAACCAATCTGTGGAGACAGTGTTCCACTGCACTTAAATTATCCCTGTATTTATGGCAAAGTGATTTGAGTTTTAGGCTACATGAGGAAAAAAGGCTTAAGATGACACTTTAAAAGGAATTGTTACAAGTGATAAAAAAAAACTTTCTTCCTTGATTAACTTGCCAGATATATTTGCTAAGGACAAAAGGATATTTAGGTCAAAAACATATAAATTCCCCTTTTTAGAGCCCTACTTCCAAATAAAGACAGATATGTCTACAAATAGAAAGCATATAGTTAGATACCGCAGAATGAGTGTTAGTACCCTCTTAAAATATACCTGTTTTTCATAAACTAGTCCCAGTCCACATAAATGTAATCTCCAAAATTTACTCTCGAGGATGTCAGAATCATCGCATCTATGAGGAACCATGTCAGCGTAGCAAAATGCAATCCGTTTGACAGTTTTCTTTAAAATATTGCAAACTATAAACTACTGTACTACTGCCTCAGTAATGATAAAATAAAGGAACTTGCATGCCAGTGCTTTACTTAATAAAAATACATATAATTAAAAACTAAAGTGCCACATGTCGTGATTCATTTACTTACTATTTTGCATGAATGACAAACTTAATAACAGATAGAGATGGTTTTCCTTTAGAAGTGTTAATCCAGTGGATACTGTAGGTCTTTCTATAGGTGTTTTATATATACCGATAAGAAAAGAACAAGAATTAATTAATATTTCCCAAGAAAATATATTAGTAGTGCTTTATTCATAAAGTGGGGTGACATCAAATTCTTAAGGCCAATTCTTTTGGCCAAGAGCTTACTTTACTTAAACCGAAAAGGCGATATTGAAACTGTTGTTTGCTTAAGTTTCACAAAATAAGTGTATATTATAGCAACATCAATACATTCGTGAGCTTTTTAAGGCCTATGTTATCTAGAAGTGGGGTTATCTATGTTTATGTATTCCAGTGTGGTAATATAAACCCATCAGTAAAATGTTCTTCATGTATTATGTATAAAAATTCAATATCTTTCATCAAAGTACAAAAAAGAAACATCAAGGTACAATTACAAAAGATGAGATAAAGACATAACTGAAGGCGTACAAAATGAAAATTTAAAATAATTTCCTTATTGTTGAGTCTTCTCCTCTGTCTGGCATCTGTTCTCATGGCATACAGTGCACGTCAATTGCCAAAGACATGAATGGACAGAGAAAAACTATACAAATGTAAATGTATTGCTGCCTCTTATTTTTTCAATTAATCTCTGTTTAATAACATCGGCAATTTTAACAGACAAGAGGCATGTTTCGAAAGTTAACAAAAACTTATAAAACAATGCTCACGTCCTGTTTCTACTACAGAGGAACATATTCAAGAAGCCTTCCCATCCTCCTAAATTTGAGATCATCTTTTGATATGCATTTACATGGCATCAAGTTGCGCAGAAGTGAAGTACTGTAACTGTACCCCTTAAATAAAGAGAAAATAAAATAAAGGAATAATCACTATTGCTCTTTTATTTTTTTTATAATTATAGTTGCAATAATATCAAAGAGACTATTTCTATCAATTTGAGTGCATCTACAAATTAATATATACACTTGATTATCAGACAAAGCCACGTGGAAAATTGTTTTGTAAAACTCGGTTACAAATTTAATCTGATTATTAAAATAACTACATTTGAACTGCTGTTTCGGAAGTACAGTTTATCTACTGAAGACATATCTAAGTCACTAAGTCTATCAATCGGAAATGCATCGTGTATATAACTGTAAAAAAAAACGTGTACCAAATTAACCTGCATTTAAAGTAATCTAACTGAATTACCACAATAAATCCCAAAGCAAATTTGGAAGCAAGCAACTGCGCCGTAGACGATGTGCAATGCTAAACGGCTTCACCGGTCACGTTTTGCTGCTGTTTATTTCTTAAACAGCCAAATCTCCTATGTTTAAATTGATAAAATAGTAATTATTTTTATCTGGACTATTTTAATATAGTTTTTTCAACGTGTGTTTAGCCTTTTATTTTTTAGCATCTTCTTTGCTTCATTTTGCTTTCATTTGACGATCGAGTTGAGATATTTATATTAGCATAAACCGCCGGAAAAGGCTATTTTAAATACATCATTCCGGTATCGGACGAGACCCATGCTGACACTGTAGACTGACGCTGCTACCGTTGGTACCAGCGGTCTTGTCACTAACCATTTCCAGAGCGCTATTTTCTGCAATCATACAATTTCGCAAGTGATAGTTGATGATTTCCCCCGTCCTTTCAGCAAAGTTCAATGTACAATTTACCTCACTTTACCTCATTATTAAAAGTGTAGTTAATTTTGTAATAGTTTTATTACTGCTGTTTTTTGACGTTATATCGGATAAATTGTACATGATCGCTAAACCCCTTTCCCTTTTATCAGTCAGAGACTCGTCTGTGCTAACAGCAAGAACGATATGCTAAAGAACAGCAGACAGATTTGCAGTTTTCTGTAATATGTATATAGATGATATCTTATACATAGACTGCAAACCATAAACTAATCAAGAAATCGGTTAACATACGGATTCGGAATTTTGTTTTAGTACATATTTTCAATGTTGTTATCCTCAAAAGTATATATCGTTTATGCAAGTGCCTTCACTCCACAGCATCGCCTTCAAAATCGGCACACTTCATCTCTTCGAGTTCTTGTTGGATGATGCGCAAAACAGCATTAACTTTCCTTATACGAGGCTATTAATTTTCTAAAACTGCCTTGGGTTCACTGCCAGTGTTATTAATTCTTAACACACAAATTACGTGTATGATCAATAGTGCACATACAGAATATATAATGAATGTAAAATACTGCACTTACCTTGAATTCCTTTCACCAAAAGCGGTAAATTATTTTCAAATCCCTGGCACGTACTGGCATCAGTGCTTTAAAACATTCTGTACCACGCATGGGACTGAAGCGCAAAAAGATGAATTTATGTTCCTCTCTAGCAACAGTAAAACATAAATCAAATTAAATCCCACTACTGAAAAAAAACGTAATTTAAGAAGTCTATAGTCCAAAATTACAAAAAAATCACTGTAAATGTTCTTTAAAAAAACGGATATCTCCTCTTCAGGCAACCTGTTAAAACGTAATGCAATTCCAAGTACAAATAATGATACCGGTGTTCCAAGTCGCTACTGAGTACAGGGGACTTCAAGTATTCTTGCTATTAGTTCAAGACAGTGATATCACTCATTATAGTCCTCTCCCTCGGTCGGTACAACTAACAGTTGATTTTACTCGTGCAAATCGGAATTGCATCCCCGATTTATACAGGAATTACTGTTTCAAAATTGCTGCAAATTATTATAGATTTTGTTATTTTTTTCTGTTGAGTATTTTCTTTTCATACATAAATGCACGCCATATGTTGTTGTTTTTTTCAAAATGTATGAGCAGTAGTTAGTGCTGACGACGTCCGATGAAGCTAGCTGTGAGAGCGCCTTGGTGCAGCTGTATCATCACTCTCAGAAGTTGTTGATTAAATGTTGCAAGGGTTCTGTGCGTAAAGCTCTAGCTTTCTCAGTTGTGTTAGATGAACTCAGCCCCTTTGTACTGCCGCCCACTCCTCCTCTGTTGACATCATTGTCGAAGGAGGGACCTAGGCCTAGAATACAAATTATGTATTTTTTCCTTAAAGCCATACTCGCCTGTTTAAAAGGAGGTGGCAGCGCTTCGCTTTAATCAGAGCTTTCTACGAAATGTATTTTTTGCTGGTTTAACTTCGCATGTGTATGAGAGGGGGCAGTGTTCGCTTTGCTAATAAATGGTGATGCACATGTACGGAGAAGTGGTCATTTTAGTAATGATTTGAGTGTGAGGTCGTTGTTAAAACGACATACTAAAGAGTCTTGGAACTTATGATATCTATTTGATTGTTTTATGTGGAGCCGATCGAGTTTTTTCTATCTTTTATCTTTTTGGTCGAGATACTAAAAAGCTTTTATAACAGGTTTTTGAGACAAAAAAAAACATACCGTGCAGAGAAAAACAACAACATATTCCTTCTACACTGATTAAGTGAAGCCGATTATACGGTATGCGGGCATTGGGATTTTATGCATACTGAAGAAGTACTGATAGTAAAATGTAATGCAAATCTACAGTAATTGTTAATAACATTTGATTTGAAAAATCAAATACATTTTAAGAGGTTTTTTTTCTATTTCTTTAGGGATGCACTCAAAAGTGCATGAAGCAGATCTCTGAAATCAGCACAATGAGATTCCAGTTAGCTGCTCTAACACTAGCTGCAAGGTCAAGGATCCAAGTGAAATGAGGGGCTGAATAAAAGGAGTTTCATAAAGTTTCAGCTGGTGCATTGTTAGAGCTAAGTCTGTAGAGAAAGGCTCTTTTCATGCTGAACTTGATGATGATATTATGCTTCAATATTGCATTTGCACAGTTACTGTGCAGTACAGGTGCCTGCAGGGCACGCATATGGAGAGCAGATATTATGTGCCAGCCTGAGTGCGTGTCTGTAAAAGATAAACTAGTTCAGTTTGTGTCGGCTATTTTTATATGTCAAGCCTTTGTCTACACAACATTTAGTAATGAACATGGCTGAATTTACCTTGACCAATCTCCCTGCATTCCTTCCACTCCCTGGCAGTCCCATGGGACCACTGGTTTGAGAGTTTTGAGACGTATTTATCAGGATTGGAGAGTTTGACCAACACCAAATGTGGACTGCTCCTACACTGCCTTGGGATTGAGAGACAACATGTATTCAGGTTGCTGGAGTCTACTGATTCATATGCTGCAGCTGTTCACTTACTGAAGGAGCACTACAACACAGCTTCAGGTGTCTTAATGCAGCCTTTTATATTTCACCAGAGAACTCAGCTCTTGGGTGAATCTATGTAACAGTATATACAGTATCTGCCCTGCGAGAACTCGCCTAGCCCTATAACTTCAGGTCCCTGCATGACAAAATGATTAACGATTAGCTCACTGAGAAAACAGCTAATAGTCAAATACGTGACTGTCTCTTAAAGGTATCTGATGATCTCACATTAAGGAGCACAATTTGTAAGACTTGTCTTATAGAAACTGCCACTTAGTGTACTGCTCAGCTCACAGGTGCAATGCTGCAAATACCAGTGCAACAGCTGCAATCTTCTGCCCCCAACCCCAAGTCTAGTATTAACCAAACACAGCAACAATGCTGTACTGCTTGACTATGTTGCAGCAACTGTGGGGCACAGACATGCAGCTAGAGCTCCCAAATGCCTAGAGCCTGACATACGCTGCAGAAATTGCAATAAACTCCATTCTTTCACTTGCTGCTGTTACTCTGCTCCAGCCCAGTATGACTCTCACACAGTGGGACTGGCTGCTATTCATACAGTGGAGGATAAGAATATTGGGTTTAAAACATGTGAATTGTATTTTGATGATATTTCCATTCCCCCCTCCTGGACACTGGGGACAAAGTGTTTCGGTTAGTTATGCTACATATCAGCAATTCTTGTTGTCATTGCCCTTACAGCACTCATGTACTTTACCTCACTCTGGAGATATGGACAAGCCCACATTGACATCATACTGATCCTGCCGTGGCCAGTGCACCACATTACAAGATCCTGGCAGAGACAAACTTCCATGTGACATGAAATAGAGTGAATATTTTAGGGTTTGTACTGTTTGAAGATCTAGGATTCTTTGTGGCTGACAACCAAGGTCAGGAAATTTTAGATATCACCGTGGCAACAGGAGCTGCCTACAGTCAATCCAGCAGTGCCATCTGTAGTTCAGCCCCTGTGCTGCATTCCCCTGGCTCTGCAAGAGGAAGTGTCAGTGGCGATCCAGTGTCTGTTTGAGGCAGGAATCATTGAGCTCGTCAATGCTTCCCCTTGGATCTCCAACCTGCCTGGTCATTGTAAAGAAAAATTCAGACAGGCTACAAGTATGTGTTGACTTACTGTACGTGCCATCAACATATCCATTAAGATAAGATTATATCAGATGGGTACTCTTTGCCTACTGTGGAGGAGTTCACCACACACTTTCATGGCCCCATAGTGTTAAGCAAGTTATACCCAACACAGAGCTACTTGCAAGTACCTCTGCACACCAAAAGCCAGGACCTTACAGGATTCATGATGCACACCAGTGTTTACTTGTTTATGTGACAGTACACTATCACAACATCATCATTTCACCAGTTACTGAAGAAAGACATATGTTGGGTTTGGAGAGCTGCCTGTAGTGAGACCATACAACATCAGTTAAATTTAAACAATTAAAAACAAAAAAATAAAACCATCTTATTTACTGAAATTGTATATACAGAAATGTTTTTCCACACGATCTGAAGCACCAGCTCACCTCCATACCATACTGGGACACTTTGATCCCGAGAGCTACACTATGATTATGTGTGATGCCTTGGCCCTAGAAGTGGAGGTCATTCTCTCACGGGCACTGGAAGCTACAGAATGGCCAGAGGCTTTCACATCATGTGCGTTGAATCCAGCAGAGCAGAAGTACAGATACAGCCATTCAAAATACAAGCCAGATAATGCAACAAATTGAGGTGTAAACACCTCACTACAGCATACTACACCATGCTTATTCTTTTAAGGGACTACACTACTTTGTAAAACCACCACATCGTGCAGTGCATGCTTAACATGATGTTTGGAAGCACTTGGGCTGTCGCCAAAAAACACCTGGTTTTGAACTCCAGTCAATGCTAAGCCCCCTGGAACATTCTTTTTTTCCAATTATATAATTTAGGTTGTATACCGTTTAGACTTTTATTTGTTTAATTCTACATATTACAGTATGTTTAGCATTAATTTAATTAAAAAAATAAAGTAGGGCTATTTTACAAACACAAAATTACTCAGTTGGCTAACTAAAAATGTTGTAATATTATAGTTTGTTGTGACTGTGATGTGCTTCGTTCAGTTTTACATCCACATTAAAATAATGCAAAGTTCAGCAACAAGTAATCAGGAAACACTTTTATTTTAAGTTTTCATTATAGAAATATATTTCACACATATTGTACTGTGGTGGCTTACCATACGGTATCATGCTGTATAGTATATACAGCATATTTTACAGTATACCAATCACACTACAGTTCATTGATATGTATGCTATAGTTTTGGTACAGTATATTTCTGGATATGAATTAATGTGATTCATTTGTGTGGCACATTTGGAACTGTAGTCTTAGTTCTCGTGTTCTATTCACGTGGCTGCTGTTTTAAAACTACATTACACACTGTTACATATACACCCTCACTGCAAAAAATCCTAATTGGGAGATACACTCCTCTGTATCAATGTTTTCCCTCATTGCATTATTTACAGTAGTCTAACAGTGGGACTTAACAGTTTGTAGGACAAGCTATTCCACGAATTAATAAAAATGCACATTCAATTTATGTAAAACCATTAAAATCAACACAGCACATGCATTTTTTCAATGTGAAAATGCTAAGACTGAAACTGTGAGTCACCCCAACAGCCCATCACTGGTACAACACACATATACTGTATAACAATACAGCCTGCACCTCACAGCTGGCAACCCACTGAAACTAAGCAGGTGTGAGCCTGGTCAGTACCTGGATGGGAGACCTCCTGGAAAAACTAAGGTTGCTAATGGAAGAGGTGTTGGGGCCAGCAATGGGTGTTCACTCTGCAGTCCATCTGGGTCCTTATGCCCCAGTATAGTGACAGGGACACTATACTCTCAACAGGTGTTGCCCTTCGGATGAGACGTACTGTAAAACTGAGGTCCTCTGAGGTCATTAAAAATTCCAGGGCATTTCTCAAAAAGGGTAGGGGTGTAACCCCGGCATCCTGGCCAAATTTCCCATTGGCCCTTACCAATCATGGCCTCCTAATAATCTCCATCTATGAAATGGCTTCATTACTCTGCTCTCCTCCCCATTGATAGCTGATGTGTGGTGAGCGTTCTGTCGCACTATGGCTGCTGTCGCATCATCCAGGTGGATGCTGCACATTGGTGGTGGTGGAGGGGAGTCCCCATTACCTGTAAAGCGCTTTGAGTGAAGTGTCCAGAAAAGCACTATATAACTGTAAGGAATTATTATTATTTTTATTATTATTATTATTATTATTGTAATACTATACAATAAATAGTAGAACCAGCAATTATGTTTACCATACAATCTAAAAAACAAATCTGAAATGGTGTGCCCAGCGGGTGTTTTGTTTGTACTATGAATCAGTCCCTGAGGCATACCTAAAAAGGTTTTGAAATTATGATTATAAAAAATCAAACCCTTGTTTAGTTTGCAAGAGAGAAAAGAGTATATTTTGATTAGTCGTGTTCAGGTTGTAAAGTAGGTGATTTTCACAAACTTAACCAGCTATTTTTTCTTGAAGAATTTAAAATCTACCTGACTGACTGTATTGTAGCCTATTTCATTGAGCAGAAAGTTACAAGCATCTATGTTAGCAGATGAGTTTGTGTTAACGTTCTACCCTGGAATTGATAAAAACTCAACAATTCTGACACCTA